GATATTATTATCCCTTTTGTTATCGATATTTTTTTTATTAGTGTGTGCTTTCGTTTTTGACTTGGTAAGAGTACATCCATACCACGTATTCTACGTTTAAACTTAGCGGCTGTGTCTCCGATACAGCCTGCAGACCAAGACGAAGGCGTTGGACTGTTCCTTTTTCTAATGAAGGTCGCCTCGAAGGTTATTTTTGGTTTCCGACCTTTTCTATTATTTCAAAATGTAACAGTATTTTATTTAAAGACAGTAGTACATATATTTAAAGATGATCGTTAATTGACAGCATCGGCATTGCATTTAAAAATACAATGCGGGAAATGTGAAGTCATTGACTTATCAGTGCAGTTTGCCTCGTATTATGCGGAGTTACTGTGATCTTATGAATTATCAGAGAAAAATTGCCACGCCGTAATACTGCAACAGATGTGCGCTAAAATAAACGAATATAAATATCATAGAAGATGCGTTAAATGTCAGCAAAGTATTACAGAAGTCTTCCGGTGAGATGGGAGAAAAGTTCTGAGCCTTATGCAACGCTCGTAAGAGTAATGTTATGCTGGTAAACCGGTTCTATGCGCAACAATACCAATCAGAAAGCCAACGTGTGGTATTTCTGTGCACACAGTAATGTTGCGTTAATGAGGCTACTTGCTCAATTTGATGAATACCCTATTGTAATCTGCTTTGCGACAAGTTTAGTATTTTCTATTGGTCGTTCATTCCGAGCAAATTGGACATACAGTTATGAAAGCGCAATAGTAACTAAGAAAAATGATTACACCTAAGAACGACAAGAACGGAACACATTAATGACAGGAAGGGGAATGAAGAAAAAAAAGGAGTGACTCAATGCACAGTAGTAAAATGCGTTTACTGCTAAGTGACAATAAAAGTCAACGGCACGGATTTTCTGTTGATTGGATAAAAAAATTTTACTTGAAAAAAGTTTACAGCACTTTTTCTAATACCTCTCGCCCCTTAATCCTCCGAGGGCATTTATGTCATGAAAATGGATTTTTCCAAAAACAAAAACTTCTGCGGTCATTTGAATTTTCGCATGCTCAACTGACAGCTCCAACAATTTGCACTTTGAACGCTCAATGCATTGTTCATTTCCTACAAATTTGCAAAGGGCGGTAAATGTATTTAAATACAGAAACGGTTGATGATGTTGGAGAGTACGGCCAGATGGTATGACGTATAGTATGTTACATTATTTTTGAGTTTTGCAAACACTCGTTGAATTATGCATGCCACACTAAACAAAAAAGTCTTAAAAAAAAAATAAGTTCGCTAATATGGACGTTCTGCTGGTGTTGCTTCAGGATGCCATGGTTGTCACCAAGTGGCGTAAAACGCCACCTTTTTGACAGACGCACACACGAAAACCGTAATTATTGCAGCAAAATAACGACTTTAATGTGCAGCAACAATAAAGTCGAGAACAAACAATAACAACTAATAACATGGTAGAGGTAATAAGTTGCCATTGCATTATTCCAAACTAAAACCACCAACAAGAGATGTTGGCGATGCATAGCCGATCGGCTATTGAATAGCGATCGGTAGCTTTGCGAACCGAATACCAACGAAAGGGAAACTATCAATGATGGTACAAACACGAAACCCGAATGCTAATAACAGCGCACTAAAGCTGATGCCAGATAAAACTTTGTGGCTTTGCGTGACATTTATAACTTTGCCAGCAAAGCGCCAGACGCAAAAGGTACGCCACAATGAACGCCAAGAAAACAGCTTTGTACTACTTTTTTACTGAAATTTCATTTATGTTTCTGCATGAAAACTCGAATTTGGACGAAACAAAATAAATATTAAACCGGCAGGATTGTCAACGCGCACAAAAAGATGGGAGTTGGCCAGCGTTTAATCTGACATCAGCTTAACAGTGGTGCGCTGAAGCAATGCTAATATTGCTAAAAATACTGCAATAGCGAATGAAATGAAATCATAAGCCAGTTCTGATTAATGTTGCTAAATTTGCGCTCTTGCGATGAGAAAAGTACTAAATTAGCAATACAACAAAGCAATTGAATCCAGAAGCCAACAATATACAGCAACATATTGACTGCTTGGGGCGGGATGATTTCGTCAGCCGGCAGTAGTTAGTAATTCGACAATTTATGTGCCAACTAAATTTCCCAATTTTGTCCAAAACTGTTGCATGCTGCTCACATTGTTGATCTGATGATATATGTACCCTGCGGCAAGCCAAAAAAATTTACTAAATTTAAGGTATATTTTTTAAATTTGTCATTCTACGAAACAATCGATATTGTGTTAATCGAAGTAGTAAATCATATCGTAAAATACGATGCCATTCCCACAGCTATAGTTATAGCATAGATGGTCCCATTTGATACTTTTGGCTGGCAGAAATGAATTTTTGAAAACTATGAATATTATTAGTTTAAAGGCAAATCATTTTTGACGTAGAATACGTCTTACGTTTCGATATGGAGGCTGTGTTCAAATGTTGTAGTTATAATTTTTAGAGCTTTACAAAAACGCTTATTGCGCGAGAACAGTGAAGCGATTTCAAAGAAAAGTGTGGCGTTTCAAACCAATTCGGTGTCCGTCGTAGAAACAACGGTAAATATTGGTTTATTTTTGGGTAAATTTTGAGCCTTTAAAGATCTCTAGCAACTTATGGTTGGCAGATATAACTTTCTACGATTTGTATATTTGGAGCTTTTCGGCCGTTGATTTTAAAGCAAAAACGTTGGTTTTTCTTTTCTGCCTCCTACGCGTTTCGACACATTATTGTGTCTTCCTCAGGGAGTCTATTTATTTTTACAAGAAAACATAATTAACAAACGTGTATACCAAAACATGTTTTTCAAACACTAACTTTCATTTTCGGGATATGGGTTCTTTGGACCATTTGAAATATTATCGTGCACAAATTTTATATATAAATTTATCAAATATCGGGCATTTAAAGGCAAAAAAATTTTGAAAAAATTTGCAATTTCTTTTTATTACCAAAATGCTCAAAAACCACTCGAATGATTTTGCTTTTGTTTTCTTTTATCAAAAATTCGCGTATTTCCCTTTCGTATGGTATATGGGAAGTATTGGCTGATATCTTCTAAGTATGTTTATTTTATTCAAATATATGGACATAAATGCTTTTCCAGACAAAATCACTTCGTCATCACTTTGCAAACACGTGCATGCGCTGGAAGTGAGAGAAGGGACAGAAAGTACATATGTGTGTAGGTATTTCGGCTTTTGAATAACAGATGGCACAATAAATATTTATCAAAGGCAAAGGTGAAGGAGAATATGTAGATGAAGACTATGATCAACATAAAACTAAAAACAAAGATAAATATAAAGAAAAATATGAGGATGAGGATACCGATAAAAGTAAAGATGAAGATAGAGGAAGAGAGATTAAAATAAAGGTAATTATAGAGAAAGGGATATAGACAGAGACTCAATCTGGGGACTAGTTTGGGAGTTTAGAGATTTTCGGAATTCTCGGGACTTATCGATATAATAATCGATATTTTATCGGTTTTGTAATGGACATTTTTGATCGATTTTGTTAGATAAATTTTTATCGATAATGTTATTGATTTTGCTATCGATATTTTCGGAACTTATTGATATAATAAACGGTATTTTTTATCGATTTTTTTATTGATATTTTAATCGATTTTGTTATCAGCTTTTGTAATAGATTTTTTTTAAGATTTTGTAATCGATTTTGTTATCGATATTTTCATCGATTTTGTTATCGATATTTTTATCGATTTTGTTATAGATGCTTTTATCATCTTTGTTATCGATACTTTTATCGAATTTGTTATCGATTTTGCTCTCGATGTTATTATCGATTTTGTTATCGATATTTTTATAGATTTTGTTATCGATGTTTTTATCGATATTGTTATAGATGTTTTTATCATTTTTATCGATCGATTTTGCTATCGATATTATTATCGCTTCAGTTATCGATATTTTTTTCATAGTGTGTGTGCTTTCCTTTTTGACTTGGATGTACTCTTAACCATACCACGTATTCTACGTTTAAATTTAGCGCCTGTGTCTCCGATACAGCCTGCAGACCAAGACGAAGGCGCTGGACTGTTTCTTTTTTCTTTTTATTTAAAGTCTTATGGCCTTACTCATAAAAAAATAAAGTAGCTTTATAAAAGGTTCATATATTGAAAAATGTATGAAAAAGGCCATAAATATTTAGATATAGATATTTATAAGTTTGATTTGGCAACTCTTATAAGTAAAATACAACCCTGAATTTATTTGCACACGCCGCTGTTATAGGGCCTCTTAATCACACAAAAACATTGCGCATTATCGGGCTTGTGTCAGTCGTTTGTGTGGTGTTTGGGGTTGTTTGTACTAAATTGCACAGTTATAATGCTAAAGTCAAAATAATTTTGATATTTTGCTCATGCTTGTGATATTGATTTTGGCGTCCAGATCGTGCTGTAAAATATGGATAAGAGCGTAGAAAATATTTGATTTGTTTTAATATTCCTGCGTTTTAAAGCTGAAACTATCAGAATATACAAGGCCCAAGCTTACACATATTTGCTTGATATAAGTTTGTTTTTCGTTATGCAAATAAGCATACAGATTTTCAGATTTTGTTAAAGCAAGTAATATACATAATTTTTTTTTTTTGGATTTATTTATAAAATTTTATTTATTTGTTTTTTCAAATAAAAGTTCAATATATAACAGTTTTGTTTGCTTATGTTACTTTTTCTGCTCGGCAATTGATACTTTTTTTCAAGCTCGCAGCAACGCCGTAATTTAATAATACTGTAATGTATAATACGGGGGTTGTATTCTTTGAACATGAGTCTTTCATCCTGAATTGAAATTATCCCGCACCTAGATAACGACCCGTAATTTGTTGCATTGTGTTATTATTCAAGTAAACATGCTAATATATTAAAAAATGTTTACTAAATAATGTTTTACTTTATTTTTCTTTATTTCAGGTAATTATTGACCGAAACCCCCTTCCCGGATGGTATTCTCGCAAATGTCAAAAGATCTAACTGTCTGCTTGGTTTCATCAATGCTGATGTAACGATTTGTCAGTGAGGCGCAAAGCCGATTCTTGTGAATCCGGAACATCACCAATTTATTCGTTAGCCAACGCTGTATGGATTTAAACGTTATACACGCATTTTTACAATTAAATAAAAACTTGATTCATTAAAACGAAAACTTTTATTTGTGCAATTCTTAATACTCAAAAACATTTATAAACGTATGTATATCTGAACCACGTGTAAGTAAGGCACCTATGTAGGTGTAAATCGGATACATCGCTCACCGTAAAGCCCAGCCGCAATTTACTAGATTAGCTGGCACGAAAGCCTTAATCCACAAGAGGAGGTAACTTTATTTGCCGTATATATATTTGTTAGCCTATACAGGGTGGGCCAAATAAGATCTACCTTTTTAGTATTATTGTTATTTTCCTTCTGCATGTTATAGTTAATCTCTTGGAAAATCATAATGGATACTTTCAGCAAACCCCACCAACAACGACTACAACACGCTATTCGTTTTACACAATTAGCCATACAAATTGAGTTTTTAGGTAATGTGTTGTTGCCGGATGAAGCGCATTTCCAAGCAAAACTGTAGATTGTGGGCTCCGAAAATCCAAGGTCAACACACCAGCACCAGTTACACCCATCCAGAAGCACTGTTTGGTGCGGTGATAAAGTTATCGGCCCATATTTCTTCGAGAATGAGGATGAAATGCCAGAAACGATTTCTGGGGCTTCTTACAGAACAACGATTGACAACTTTTTGGGGCCAACGGCAGAGCAGCATCCTAGTTTGTGGCTCCAACAAGATGGAGCGACGGCGCACTCTGCTAGGCAAACTAGGCAGACTATGGTAGGTACACCATGTACTTGGCCCACCCTATACTTGCAGTTATACATATCGTACAAAACCGCGTATCGTCGTTCTGCAAAACCGCGTAACTGACATTTTTTGCCAAAAATTATTAGATTTGCTCACACACAAGCTCTTGGCTCAAGCCTTATCCATTTGTCCTGAAGTATACTAGCCAGAAATGCGATTGTTTATTAAAAACTAGAGATGTGCCGGATGAGATTTTGCCGGATAACCGGATTCTGGATACCATGTACAAAATAAGAGCCGGTATACTGCTCCCCTTTATAAATTTCACAATCGGCCTTATCGTGAATTCATGTGAACAAATATCCCCAAAAATTATAAAGCACAACAAAAACAATATTTCACAAATTTTTATTTTTTTTTTGTTATGCATGTTAAATTATGGGAAAAAGTTATTCGCATGGGAACAATATTCAGTCTTATCATGAATCTTTTTTTCGTGTGAACTTGCTCACATTTCGCCCTTGCAGGGGCCAATTCCTGTTCTGTGATAACGTGAAGTGAAAACATTTTTCATCCCTTCACATAAAAATTAATTAATTGTCAAATGAAATGAAAAATATTAAAATTCCTATAATTCGGAAATGCTTCTTTTCATAATGAAAAATATTAAAATCGTTAACTATAATTTCTAATGGTATCTAACATTAAATTGGATTATGAAAAAAAAAAATAAAATAAAATCAATAAATTTCTGAACAAGATTTTTAAATTTAATCTCCCATAATTGAAATCCGGAAATCCGACAGGATTTTAGCTAGTATCCGGTCCGATAGTCGGATAACAGAAAAACCGTCGGATAAGCCGGATTCCGGATATCTACCGGATAGCCGGCACATCCGTATTGAAAAGAGAACCATTTTGAAATATGAGTGTTTTTACTCTCTAGAAACTAATTTATGCAACCTCACATACGCGGTTTTGTACTTTAAACGACGATATGTACAAGAGTGCATGCGTAAATAGAAAACATTGTATTCGCAATTGGCAGTAGACACGTCGTTTTTTTGAGTGTTGTCGGCGTGCCACGGGTATAAATTAATTGCTGCCATAAAAGTCGTAAGCACTATAACGGTACGGCGAACGTGCATAACAGCAGGCGATCAGCAGTGGTTGCCTCCTAAAATGGATGCAGCTAATTTAATTATCAAATATGTAGTAATAAATTCCATAGTGAAATATTTTCACACCTCCTGCAACTGCAATGCTGTTAATTAACTACCATAAATGTAGTATCAGATCACATTGCCGGCTACAGTATCAGTTGGAATAACAACGGCGAATGCAGCAGCACCAGGCGTAGTTGAAAATTGTGTATTGTATTGATTTAGTACTTCGCAGTAGTAAGTGCTGCTTAGTCGACAGTTTTGGTGTATTAGGTGCAAGAGAAAATAATGAAGTTCAAATGTGTGTTGCGTGAAAGGAACGTTTGTGTTGAGAACACATGCAATCGCAAGGAATATACAGCTAAGCTTCGTATCGCGAAGGTAATATTGGCTTTATAGGAACTAACAAAAGAATTTTGGTGGATTTTAAAATACCTTGGAAAATATTAAAAAATAAAATATTTTGGAAAAAAATATCCAAAGTATTCCTGAGAAAAAGATACTTCACTAAAAACCCTATAGAGTTGTCTATTTTGACTGAAGAAGCTCAAAGCTTATTTGCAGCACTTGTAGAATCGCGGCAAAGCACAGGCTTTCCAACAAAAAAAAAAAAAGAACCAGATAACTAGTTAGTTGTTGGCGGGCTACTTTTAGTCAGGTAGTCCGAGTATTTATAATCTTTATGTATCTTCACTATGAACCACTTTGGGGGGCAAGTATCTCATAAATAGCATCTACAGTTTAAATGAAACCATTTTCAAATTAAGCATTAATACTATTTATGTATTTTCAGGTTGAGCGGAACCCTCTTCAAATTAATTGAACACGTTTTCAGATTCAAAGAAACTTTATTAAAATTAAATGAAACATTCTTAAATTAAGTATTAAACATTTTTAAATTAAGGAACAGGAAATCAACTTAACCTATTAAGAGCCATTTGCACCAAGAGTTTGTCCATTCGTCGCTTTCGAAATTTGGATGATCATGTCCACAACATAGTTCGCAGAGTCATTTCGACTAGTACTTAGAGCTTTTTCAAACTGGTTTACATAACTACAAATGCGATCTATGTATATTTTTTAACTGAAGTTCGCTACATAAGTCTTTTGTCCTACGAATTCGTATGCTATTTCAGTATAGGGGTATTCTCTTGGAAATCTTGCAAAGCCATTGCACGTAGCACGGATTTGACGGATTGCATAACTTGCAAAACACACAACAACAAAATCGATGGGAAACGGCATTTCATATCGCTGCAAAGTATGCAACGTCTGGACCCATGTAGATACATATTTTGCAAAAAAGCATAGCAAGATAAATGCGACTCTGTGCCAGCTGTTTTGTTGTTAGAATTGCTACATATTTCTATCATTCCTCTCATCTCGCTCACTTAATTTTTTTTTTGCTGTATGTTGTTGTTGTATTTCACTGCTTGCTAAATATGCATGTTACCACTTTGTAATGGGGTGCTCTCGTACTCTTCCGAATTTGGAAGAGTATTTTTGCATTTCGTGCAATCCGTGCAACGTGCAAGACTTCGAGAATACCTCTTACATATGTATAAATACAGAGTCAGATTAAAAAACTATATGCATTATGCATTAATACTATTTACGTATATATGTATATAGGTCGTAAATCTGATTATCGTTCAGAAATTTTACTTTAACCTATAAAGGAGCGATTTTTATTAAATGCATCGAGCTGTTTACCGTACTTAATAAAAAGATACATGGTTTAGTTAAAGTAAAGAGAAAATTTCATACAAGTCTCACAACAATAAAATGTCTTGTAGTCAAAAACTAGTTGCAGTTTTCTGCAGAAAAACATTTTCGTAAATCAAATATCTGGCTGGAATTTGAACCGCTTAAATTTTCTGCTGCAAATTTTAATTAACGTGAACTTCATTTTGTTGCTTCATTCGCATTCGTATAAACACACACACAAGAGTTCTTAAAAAGTAAGTAAGCAACAAATATTGGCGAAGTAAAATGCAAAGTAAAGCAAAGCTAGGCAAAGAAATAAAAGAGGCAAGTGAGTTATGGGAACTTAGGGACTCTGTACGAGCAATCAATGTTTTTTACTACATATGTACTCGTACATATGCCTTTTGAAAGCGACCTCAATCGATTATCTTGGAAATCTGATGGAATTTAGTGTATAATAATTTTAAGCGACTCATAAACTTTTACTCTTGCGATCGGTCACATAAAAATCGCTTTGAACGTGTCGAAAGAATGATTCTGCAGTCGCCTAGAAAATCTGCTTTTTTGTGAATGATTTTTTTTATTTTTATTTTGGCTTTTCATTGAAGGCGTCTGCGTTCATGCCTTTTGTCCAAGTGTAATTTGACTGGAATGTTTTGGTGATTTTCAAAGAAGCATCACCTTCTCTGCTTCAGTATTGAAAGAAGCGTCGCCTTCACTGCTTCGTCTGTCTTCGTTGCTCATTAGTGATAAATTCTTCAGATGGATGCGCACTCGTCTGGCATCCGGCTGGCGGCTTGGGCGTTTTGGTTCATTGGAATCCATTGCGATTGCTTGGTAAACAATCTAAGTTTTTTTTTTTTATTCGTGTTTCACTTCGTTTACTTTGGTAAAGCGTGGTGGAAGAACGACTTGAAAAGGAATGTATGTACAATATTTTAATTGGGAATCAAGCCAAGGAAATTGATATTGTTTGTCTTTTGGCTTTGTGATAGTATTTAGCATCAAAATGTTATCAGACGATTCGATAGTTCCCATAACGTCGGGTGTTGGTGTTTTTTCTTAAAAAAAAACAATTTTGTTGAACCTCGGATCTCTCGAAGGGCTCACCAGTGCTTTGTTCACTCCGCCATTGCGACTGTTGGAGCAGCGCGGGCAAAATAATATATAAGTAAAAACAACTTTTCACCATGAAAGTTGGGAAGGGAGCATATTTTAAAAGACTTTCGTATCAGAATAAACAAAAGATTTCAAAATATTTTGCCTACTTCCGTACAGTTGTATTAAAAATGACTTTGAAATATATTAGCCGTAATTGCCCTGTAAAAGTATAGTGCTGCAAGTTAATATGCGTAAATTGAACCTTTCCATATAACATAGTGCGAAAAAAATAAAAAAATCTCTAAATACACGAAACAGTCAAAATACTTACGAAATTAGGAATCAAAACTGCTTGAAATTTCAGAGATATGTCTA